TGGGCACAAACTTTAAATGTGGAGTCCCAAGTTCTGCATATACCTACCTTTCTCACAAATTTTCTCTGATATTTTACTAGGTGTAAAAGACCCAGTTCCTGCATATCACTGGAAACAAGTTTTTATAAAATGCACAAAATACCTGTAACCAAGAGCTACTTGTGACAAGCAAAAAAGTCTTTAGTCTTTCCTGCTCTGGACATCACCAGAAGCTGCTCATGAAATGGGGAGGCACAACACATGAAAGACTTTCATGAAAGACTCTAAAATCCAGGGAGTTGCAAGTTCAGAAAACATAAAAGTTTTCCTCAAGAGGCTGGGACTGGGTTACAGCAATTAAAAAACATGCTGCCTGCTTTCAAGGAAGTTGTTAATAGGTGCTTTAAAAAAAAAAAAACCACAGATGAGGAAGAAAGAAAACCAACATTCATTGAAGCCCTACTGTGTGGTAGGAACCTTCCCACTACACTCCCTTATCAGAAGGTGCTCTACATTTATTCAAAAGAGGAAACTACAATGGTGGGTGTTCTTGAAAGCAATTTTATATTCCTAGAAGAAAATAACAAACAAGCCAGGATTTCAGATGTTTATAACAGCTAAACAATCATAATGAGACAGGGCTTGTGACACAGCCCTGCTAGCTATCTGTAGAACAGATGACCTCTAAGGTCTCTTCCAGTCAAGGTTTTTTGTGATCCTATAAATAACTGAGAATCAAGGGCAACAGTGTTATCCAGAGCACCTGGGATAAGCACCTGCTTTAGGCAAGCCTTGCTCACAGGCACAGCCAATTCCTCATAAGGATGGCAGTGATTAACTTGGTTTGTAATGAGTGCCAACAGCACAATGAAATCAAGTGCTGTGATGGCTCAATTAACCAATGCTCTGGAAATGGTGTGTCTTTACAATGCAGTTGGCTGTTCTGCCCCAAAACTCACCACAAATCATGGCTGTTGGTGTGTGCTGCATGGCTCACAGTAATGCTCTGAGTTGGGAGATGCCCTCTGTCCACTGTCCATGAACAGGGCAACCCTAGGTCTGGTCCTTGGTTCTTTCTTGGCAGAGACCTTGCCCCTTCCCACTATCCTTCTGTGTACACTGTATACCTGCTACAGCCTGGAGGGGAGGTGGCCAGACCTGACTTCATCATCTGCTCACTCCCCCACCCACTTCTCTGGTGTGGCCCCCTCTGATTGGTGCTGAAATTCCAAATATGGGCCAGGCATGGTCTTCCTCCAGAGAGCTCACAGTCTTCTGTAGCCCCATACACAGACACAAATCCACATAATTCCTAGAGTTTGGGGCAACACTGAGGCAACATACTCATTTCTTTAGGTAGCAGCTGGAACTCACACATGCAATACTATCCCTGAAAAAAGGAAATGGCTTATTGTTTCAACAAGAATGAAGAACGGATCTGAATACAGAGTCTTCCTGTGATTAGCAGAACCAATTGCTCTCAGGAGTAGGACTGGCTCTTCATGCATCCTTCACCAAGTAGAGCATGACAAATGCTTGGACAGGGAAGAGGAGCTTGCTGAGCCTGGCGTGGAATGACAGCTGCTAAAGCTGTTGGCTACAACTCCACCACTCCTGGGGAGTCTGTGCTCTTCAGACTGCTCACAGTGGCTCGGTCTGGTATGGCCTTTGCTCAAAATGATCTCCAAGTCCCTTCCATACCAGCAACTTGTTACAGAAGCACACCTACTCTGTTTGGAGAGGCAGAGCAGACTTGCTCTTCCATCAGCAACAGTCCTCTGCCTTGTGAAGGACCATTGACTTGGAAGTACCAAGCAGAAGCTCAAGGTAAGGATATTATGTGGCCAGGACAACAAAGAGAAGCCTAGCAATAGGTCCCAGATCTGCCCAAGGTCACAGAGATACAATCCACATGGCCCCCAAAGGCTAATCTGTCATCCCAAATGTTGATCTTAGTTTGATCAACATTTGGGATCAAAGGCCTAAAATGAAATGGGTTGTCTTAATGTGGTAGAACACAATGATGGGGAAGCCAGGAAGCATTCATACTTCTCTAGCCCAGCAGCATCCACTCTGAGTGGCTAGCCCATGACATCATTCTCTAGTCATCTGAGACCTAGGATGTGCAGCTGAGCAGGTAGTAGGGTTCTAGGCTTGGAAGGCCAGTGAACATGGAGCCAGGAATACAAAGAGGACAACCAAGCTGATTGTACAGAGACAATGGATAAGAATCTGAGGGGAAGGCATTGGTGTCAGTACAAACAAACAACAGTCATCTCAGCATACTTGACCCTATTCCAGTCCACAGGAAGGAAGGCCATCCATGTAGAGTATTTAGATAGGGTAGAAGCTGGGTTAGGGAAATTAGTACCCCAACCATGAGTGAGAAAGGTGCAAGCTGCAGAACACCAGGCAGTGGCCATAGCTGCTACTGCTCTTCAATCTTTTCTCTACGCCCCACTTGACTGAGGAATAGCTGAAGGCACAGGATCTGGTCAAGACCTGGCTGTTGGTTTCACTTATTGTTGTTCATTGGGTCAAGAGTGGGTCCAGCAGGGCTGACATGGTGCTGGGATCACATCCAGTGCTCTGTGTTCCAGTTCACCATGCAAGAAATTTTCCCCTATCTCTAATCCCTGAGAGCTAATGATAATTAAGTGCCTAAATCCTGTCCCTACCTCTCCATGTTCCAGGGCCTTCTGCAGAACAGGGCTTTGTCAAGTTCTCGATGCTATAGTGGTAAAGTTAGAACTCTGAGTGGGCTATGGGAACACCAGGTGGCTGGGCATCATGGTGTGAAATGTGTGTGTATGGGCGGGGTATCCTGAGATCCTCTGTCTCCATCTCTATATTGCAGCAATTCCCCAAGGCCTAGGTTTTCAATTTCCACTTTTTAAATGCCTAACTTGTCGGATCCCCCACCTTGGGCTTGAATTAGCTCTGCTCCACAGTTATGGCCTTAGTCTACCCTCCTATACCCATCTGATTTCTCACAGCCATCTCAGTTGGCTCAGACTTCGCCAAGCTGTCACAGCCTTCAGGAACTGCAGAGCCATAACGATACAGTGGCTGACACTGACAAATTACTAAAAGCCTAGCTAACAGGGCTAAAGCACTTATTCTAAGAAGTTGTTTTATCTATAGTTAAGCCCAATATATCCTTGGATAGTTCAACTGACAAAAGTACAAACCATCTAAGGATGGCAGATGAACTGACAGAATACACAGATAAAAGAAAGCAGGTCAGCTCAATTCCCCATCCCTATCAGAACATCCTGGAAAGAATCCAGGCGATTCCAACTCAGGGAAGAGAAGTGGTAATTACAACTGCACCATCCCATGTCTCCCAGAAGCTTAAAGAAAAAAATTAAAAATGAAATAAAAATAAGGCAACTACTACTATGTACCAGGCACTTTCACGTTTCCTTACTATTCACCAGCCTCACCCTCACCCCATGCACTATCATCCTGCTTGAACAGATGAAAAAGCCAGTTCTTGTGTATCTAAAGATGCTTGCCAGCACCAGCCTGCCTAGCCTCCTCAGAAGTGTGAGCTTAGCCAGGTCACTGCCTCCTCTTAGACCTTGGTTAAAAAAATGAGGAGTTCTGAACTCTTTCCCTGGATAGGAGAAAGGGTTGTGGCAACTGGAAGAAAGAGAAAAATCACAAGCCAAGTCACTTTCATCTGCAGTTGCCATGGTGCTGGAAGCACAAAGGAGGCACTTGGAGAACACAGACTGATGGGAGAATTTGCCTTAAAAATGGGATCCGCATTAGATCAGAAGGCTCCAGCAGGTCTTACTGTGGGGGCGGGGCAGGAGGTGGATTTCCAATGGAGGCTTCCTCATGACTTCTACTCTGTGAAGTGAAGGGAGAAGCCTACACCCAGGCCCCAACCTAGAGCACAGCTTCCAACTGTCTACTTCCTGTTGCCTAGGAAGGCTAACCTAGAGGCAGAAGTCAGGAGAAAATGCAGATAGGAATGAGAAGGCCAGAGGCTACTGCATGGGTCCAGGCAACACTGTGCCTAAACAAGAGTTCAGGTCTTAAAACAGAAAATATTATATGTGAGGTATTCCAAAGGCAAATTTATTTAATAAACTTAGAAAAAGGAATGACGTTGTTTTTTGTTCTTTTTTAGAGGTCAAATAATTGGGGAATCAAAACAGAGACATGGTTCAGAAGATAAAAAGGCACACTGAATTTCAGATGACAACGTGTAAAAATGTCTGGCAGGGTAGATGCAGACTGAAGACTATAAAGCGGTGGGTTTATTTATTTATTTATAAAAAGACTTTGTGGTATTTCTGCTGGCATCCCTTTATTTTACTCCCATAATAATATGGCAAAAATGTGGAGAAAGACAGCAGTATAACGAAAGTGCCAGGAAAAAGGTATTTCACAAAATACACCAAATCATTTAATAAAAATTGACTTCCATGTCTAATAACATCAGAACCAGACTAGATATAATACCCAATGCTGGCAAGGGTACACTAAACTGGCATTTTCATAATGCTGGAAGAAAGAATCCTTTTGGAAAGCAATTTGGCAATATGTATCACGAGCCATAAAGTGTTAATATTATGGCCTAATATTCTAGGAATCTAGCCTAAGGAAATATTCAAAAGAAAGCAATAGAACTGTGATAACAACTGAGGATATCTAGCACACAAAAATGTTCATTATCTACAGTAGAGAAAAATTGGAAGCCACTTAAATATGCAACCATAAGGGAGAAATTAAGAGCACTATAGGCCCCTGATGGAATCATTATATAGGCATTAAAATGTTAGTTACAAAGACAGTGTGGTAACAAGGAAATCTGCTTTTCACTGGATTGCTATATTTTTAAAAGGACAGAAGAGCAGGATACGTGACTACACAGACATTATGATGATAACTTTCATGTTCAGATAGCTGGTTCTGGATACACCTTTTTCCTCCTACTTTTCAAAGGGATGGTACTCCTTTGGATAGAAAATAAGTGAGAATGTTAAAATCAGCAGGTGGGGCAGTACCTTGGCTCCATCCACACTGATGATCCGATAGCTATTCCTTGTGACATCGTAGAAGTAGGAAACAGTGACAGCTTGCTTACTTGCAGGCACCCAGTTCTTCTTGGTGCTGGGGTCAATCTGGAAGACATGTGCTCGGGTGGTGAAGATGGGCTGTTCTCTGTAAGAGGAGAGATGGGCATGTAAGTTGATGCAACATGACTTTTATGTATAATTTATGATTTCTAGGCTACCTACTGCCCCAAAAGACTTTAAATAGCTTATTCAGAAAGATACATATGTATGAGGACAATTAAAATTAAAAAAAATGGAAGAAAAGAGAAAAAGACACACCAGTGAGTAGTTTCTGCAACCCACACTCCGTTTGCAAGGCAACTGGCCTCATTGAGCAATTTGCTTAAAATGCAACTCCCTGTTGAGAATTTCTGCATCCCTGTCAAGTGTCCAGTTCTTTCTCTGACATCCTGTTGACATTCTTAGGATTTTTGGAACCATTTCAAATTTATTATGGGGGATTCTGTAACAAATTTAAGATTGTGCAAGCCATTTATTGCTTAATGTTATATTTCTATTAAGTACTTCTCAAATTTCCATCATGATTTTATATCCTTCTGGGTATCTCTTTAATTTACTTTTGGAATAATTTAAGGACTTTACAACTTGACAAGCCTTAAAGTTTTATGTAGAAATCATCAAATTCACCTCTTTTGCTATTCTTGAGCTACAGTGTTCTGCCTTTTTCTTCATGTAGTTGCTAACCAAATTAGCACATTATCTGTGTTTCTTTCTGTTTAGTGGAGAATTAATTAGATCCTAACAATAGACATTAATAAATAAGGCAGATGAATATAAACTGCAATGGATTGCACTACATAATCACATTTTAAGGTACCTACTTCACAAAATAACACAGACTCATCACAAAATATATTTATTTCTGAAGACAGGGTCTTTAGGCAAACTGTCTCAAAAATCCTTTAAGTGTTCAAAATACGATGAAAATTGAAAAATAAAAGCAACCAGCTTTGCATAAAATTCTACATATTTAATAAGGACTTATTAGAAGTACAAAATTAAATCAATAGGTTTAATTTTAGTTTAGTCAAATTAATTTTTAAAATTCTTAAAATGTCAAAAGAGGTGACATAAAAAAAATGGACACCCAAGTGTATACAAAAGCCAAAATAGAAAGTGAATCTAAGTGCATTGGTCTCTGAATGGAGTACTTTTAGGCAAAGCAGTCTTTGAACTCATCCTGACTGTGGAAGAATCATTATTAGAAAAGAAAGCTCTTGAGGAGAAACATTTTCCTAGAAAAGCAATTTGCCATTTGAGCCTCATGCAAGGAACATGAAATAACATGATGGATGTCAGCATAGTTTCAGGGAAATGAAGAAACCTTCTTTATGACTATTTCTCCAAGGACATGCTAGTAATGCTACTTGAGTGCAGTTGTTTCTAGAAGCCAGAAGAACAGCCAGAGACTACCACTCTTTGCTCCCCGAAACTTCTTTTCTAGGTTCCCCTGAGCAGGACAAGTGACTCTGGGAATGTGGATTACTAGGATATTTCACTTCCCTCAATAAAAACCAAGTTCACCCACCCACTCAATCCTAAACCAACACCCTTTCCAGTGCCTGGGTGTCAGCTGTGGAAACAAAAGGAATATTCTCACTGTAATTTCTCACATCTGTTGTCAAGAGGCCAGGCTGTGAGGAAAATGTGCACAATGAATACAAGCTCTTGCAATCAAGTCCACATGGGGAAGTCTGATGTCTGGATGGCCCAGCTGTGCCACTGTCAACACAGCACTGTATTTTTCTAATCATCTAAATAAAACACCATAAAGAAAAAAACACTTCTTCACATACAACATTCTCTTGCATATGTAAGAAGAAAGAGTGATTTAAAGGGCAGTCACTACAGAAAATTTTCAGAGAATAAAACTGTACTCAAATCTCTGCCTCTCTCTTCCACAGCACTGAATGGAGGCCCATGGGTCAGAAAGAATTCTTCATTAGGGAAGAAGCCCAGGCTTTCAGATCTTTCATCTCATTCCTTACACTGAGGTAGAGTGACTAGATCTAGGTGTTGGCAAGCTTAATATTTCTTCTGTCATCATGATAGAAATTAGCTCGGCATTTACTAAAAATATGAGTTCTCAAGCCCCATCCTATGCCCCCTGGAATCTGGCTCTCTGAGGAAGAGGGCTGAGGACTCCACTTCTAATAAGAATTTTGGGTGATTTTTTTTATCTTCAAGGAAGCTGGGAATATGGTCACATTGGATATTATCAGGTTATCTAAGGAAAAATAGAAGAAGTAAGCCCTAAAACCAGGATTTCTCCTTCAGAATAAAAAAAAATTATACATCATGATCCCCACAAAGTTCTCCCAAGCTCCAGGGGGCCAGCAATGGGACCCAAAATAGGTTCTCCATATGCAAAAAATGGAGGCAAGGGGCGAAAGAAAGGGAATGATGGAGGGCAGTTTGCAGTGGCCAAGCAGGGCCCTCCTGCAAGGGCTCTCTGCCCTGGGGGCCTATAGGCACGAAAAACTGAGGACAACAATGTGGAGAGAGTAGAGGAGGAGGGCAGGGAGACAAGAGAAGACAGCAGGGCTTTCTGATCAATCATAAGCAAAAGCAGCCTGCCATTTGCTTGGTATGATTGAGGCCAAAGTGAGCATGTAGACCAGAAGGGCTCCATCTCCAAATCTGCCGTCTTGGCTCTGCAGATGGACTGAAGTTACCTTGGGTTATCCTTGAGACTCCATCCAGAAAGGCAAAGATGTAGGGAGGCATGGTGAATTCAGCTGCACACACCCTTGGTCACCAGAGCCAAGTCCTCCACGGAGAAGTGGCTTCTCTCACACAGAGATCCAGGAGGGGACACTGCAGGGGGTCACACCAGCCCCATTCTGAGGGTGGTCACCATGGCAGGTAGCTATAGCCCTCCTGAGGCCAAAACCTTTTGTTCCTCAGTCCCAAGGCCCTGGACAGATGGGAGAACCTGCACAGCCAGACTGGCAGCAGCTCTGAATACAGGTACCCACCCATAGGACTATGATTTCCACATGAATAACCAAATCTGAGAGCACTGGGGAGTTTCAGGCTGTTCTTCTGAAATTCAAAAAGTCTACTGTTATTTCAAGAAGCAAGGATGAAAAGAACAGCCAGTGGCTGACATTTACTGAGTGTTTACTGTTCAAGGCTTTACACGTGATTTCTTACTTAGGTTCACAACAATCCTATGGGGAAGGTGCCACACAGATGGAAAAACAAGAGGCCAGGTAAACTGCCTTGTGTCACATAGTTAGGAAATGGCAGATTTGAGCTCTGAAGTCAGTTCAAGTGACAAAGAAAGCCTCCCTCTTAATACTCTTTCCCTAAAATGAGAGTTGTTTGTAGTATGCAGCTTCTGAGGTGCCTCCCAATGTAATCCCCTCCCCTTGAATATGGGCAGGACCTGTGACTTGCTTTTAACCAATATGGGAAAGGATATAGGTTGTCACTTATGTGATTAGTTTACATAGATTGTGATTTCTGTCTTCCTAGCAGACTCTCTCCATTGATTTTCTCTTGCTGACTTTGATGAAACAAGCTAAGATGATGGGGAAACCCAAGTTTCAAGGAATTGAGAAAGGACTCCAGCCAACAACCAGAGAACTGAGGCCTTAATCCAATATCCCTGGAGGAACTGAAATTCTGCCAACAAACACATGAGCTCAAGAGCAGACCTTTCTGCAGTACAGCCATCAGATGAGACTCATACCTTGGCTAACACTTTGGTTACAGCCTTGTACGAGACCCTGAAGCAGATGATCCAGCTAAGCCTTATTCAGATTCCTGACCACAAAAATATGGTTCTTATATTAACACATATTAATTGTATGAATTAATGGGATTTATTATGTTATTTCCATATATGCACACATGGTGCATGGATAATGCCCATCCACCCTTCTACCTCCAACCCCCTTCCCTTTCCACTCTTGCCAGCACCCTTCCCACTCTCTTAAAGTTCCTTCTTAATTTCTTTCTCTTTCCCCTGCTTGCTATACTTCACCATTTTTAGTGACCACTATTCTGCTTCATAGTTCCATAAGACTGACTTACTGTTTTCCCTAAACAAGTCAGAACATTGTGGTATTTGGCTTGTTTCACTCAATATAATCCTCTCTAGTTCCATCCATGTTGCTGCAAATGACAGTATTCCATTCTTTTTAATAGCTGAGTAGTATTCCATTGTGTAAACATACCACATTTTCTTTATCCATTTCCTCACTAAAGAGCACCTAGATTGATTCTATATCTTGGCTACTATGAATAGTGCTCAATAAACATGAGAGTGCCCTTATCTTTCTGGATGTCAAATCCTTGTTGGATGTACCATTTGCCAATATTTTCTCCCATTCTGCAGGTTATCCCCTAATCCTGTTGACTGTTTCCTTTGCCGTGCAGAAGCTTCCTAACTTGATATAACCCCACTAGTCTGTTTTTACTTTTGTTGTCTATGCTTTTGTCCTATCTTTAAAAAAAACAAACAAACAAAAAAAAAACTTTGCTTATACCAATGTCTTGAAGTGCTTGCCCTATGTTTTCTTGTAGCAATTTCATTGTTTCAGGTTTAAGATTTAGGTCTCTGATCTATTTTGAGTTGATTTTGTGTATTATGAGAGAAAGGGATCTAGTTTCATTCTTCTACTTATATCCAATTTTGCCAACACCATTTACTGAAGAGACTGTCTTTTCTCCACGGTATTTTTTGGTTCCTTTGTCAAAAATCAGTTGGCTGAATGAGTATGGATTAATTTCTGGATCTCCATTCTGTTCCATTGGTCTATGCATCTGTTTTTATGCCAGTACCATATTGTTTTAGACCACCCCAACCTTTTTTGGGAGGTGGTGGTGGTGGTGGGGATTGAACTTAGGGTTTGTGCACACTAGGTAAACACTCTTACCTACTGAGCTATGTCCCTAGTCCCACCATGCTGTTTTAGTAATAGCTTTGTAGTATCTTTTGAAGTCAGGTATTGTGATGCTTCCCAGCTTTCCCCCTCCTGGCCAGGATAGCTTTAGCTATTCTGGGCTGTAGTTCCATATGAATTTTAGAAAAAAATTTTCTGTTCTATGAATAAAGTCATTAGAATTTTGATGAGA